TTTTAACACTCTATCTGCGGGACTACCATTTAGCATCTTAATTGTCGCTTACTTTATAGCTCAAGGATCTAGCTTACTGTTGCATGCAGAACACTATGAATAAATTATAGGAAAAAAAACTCCCACCACTGAAGTTTTAAACACTAGATGTATGATGAATTACTTCAATTGTTTCCAATTGCTTTTGTCTTTTTTGTTTGAAATCTTCGAATTAATTTTTTTTGCCTGGCGCTGCATGACACGAGGGCATTACAATAATCCTAAAGCTTGGAGTTGGTCAGTGTCGACTTTTTTTTGCCATATAGAATTATGTTTCGCCGCAACTAAAACACTGATAACACAATTTAGGCTTTTTCCGGAGGTCTAAATATCTCCCATGTTGCCATTTTAATACTTCTGAAAAGAAGTATTTGGCGATATCGTACAGCCTGTGTAGCCTGGGTGGACGGGGTATTTAAATGACGATCGTCATGTCTAGTTTGTAATTGGGTAGTCAGTTTCTGACTACAGACTGACGGGTCTTGGCTGAGTACTTCTGCGGACAGTCCCATTTTTTTCTGGCAATAAGTGAATTTAGTGCAATGGTTAATGGTTTTTATTAGTAGGCGGCCTTCAGAAAGTGGTCCCCTTGAGTTTAATATATACAGTTAATCCATTCAAGCAATGTAATTTACAGTAGCACTTATGAGACGTGAATTATTTAACGGTCTTGCCCTGTTTTAATTTAAAAAAATTCATTTGGTCCCTTTTATACTATAATTATGTCTTAAAAACAAGGGTGAATTTTCTGTAGATACAGTTTCCGTGCAATGTTCACTGTTAATATGTAACAGAATGACTTGGCAAAACTTCGTGTATTTGATATTTTTCGTCAATAAACTCTTCTGGATGGAAATCATTCAAGGAACTGGTACGTTACATCAGCTTTATTCTTCTGCTCTTAAACATATTTTCCTTTCTTTATCATGTACAAGGTCATCCCTTTTCGTTAGTGGAATCCCATTAAAATTTTAAACAGGTTGACTGTACTGCGTAAAATGTTACCTTTCATGACATCTTTGCGAGTTTCTACATGCATGACGCCTATAGAACTTGTAATAGAGCGGGTTTACAGCCGTAGACAGCTATTAGTACTGATCATGAAGATGATTCACAAGGTGTTATGATAGATTATAACCTAACTTTCTCATATGTTAGAGATCACCCTACCTAAGCTATTCCAAGGTAGTCTTGAATTCTGGATTCCCTGTTAGTGGAACTTGGATTTCGGATTCCAATTGTTGGCAAGGTTCTGGGTTCCTTGAGCAGCCGCGTTTCAGATTTCAAAACCTAGGAGGCACTTTCCACGAGCGAAAATTTCCCACACTACCTCAGATGGGGAGATAGAGACATGTTAATTGAAAGGTTGGGTGCCTCAAATATTCCGTGCTAACCTCGCTGATTTACTACTTTTTTTGCTTCTCTCTCTTCCTTTCTGTCTCTCTTTGTTTCTTTATTTCTTTCGTCCTTTTTTCCTCTTGGCAATTTGGCCTAGGGTATATTGTAATTGACCTCTCTCGCTATTTTCTCATAATTTTATCTCGCTAAACAGATGGCTGTCGAGCGTTGAGGTTCAACCCCTCATTAGATGGCAAGTTTCTAGACGGCCATGTCATCGAAAGCAGCCAGGAAATAATGACGAAAGATGCCTGCGAGCTTGAATGCTTTATGAACGCTGACTGTGTGTCGTACAATTTTGGCACCAACCTAACCGCGGGTGAAAAAAGGGGAACAGTGTGCGAACTGAGCGACTCAACTGCCGATATACACCCTGGCGATGTTAAAAATAGAACTGGATTCAGTTATACACCAGCTGAGGTAAGATTGCTCTCGACTCCTAGCTTTCAGTACGCTCTATTGTCTTCTATAGTAAAACCATAAAATAAACGATTTTTGGTTGAGAGATAACATGAAGCTGCATCAACAACTGCCTTGCCAAAGTGGTCAAGCACGTTGAACAGCCTTGAACCGCCTATAATGAGTCACAAATTAGGGGACACCCTCAGGACGGGGGCAAGTGTCCCTTGAATAGAAGTTGGGCTGCGGGGTTTGTTAATAATGAACCGACAAAGAAAACATACAGAAATCATCAATAACTTATATCCCTACGACATTATACGTTGAATTCAAGCAAACACTTTTCATCGATTTAAGTGAGATAGTTAAGTTTGTGAAAGCTTCCACATTTTTTATTAGTGCACACCTGAAGATATCAACCCTCTTTGTGATCAGTCACATTTTGAGAGCTA